CCGCTGTGTTTGGCACACACAGCAGAACAGAGTGTCAGGGGACAGGCAGGTCAGTGTGGGCCGGAGGAGGTGGCATGGGGGTCTGTCTCATGCTGTAGGGAGCCAGAGCCCAGGCAATCAGCTGCTGACAGCAGCACTGTGGTGTGACTTCTCTCTAATTATGTCATCTCTCTGCCCCCCTTCCCAGATGATTTCCAAAGTCGACTCCTGCTCTAACAGGCTGCAGCTCTGTTTATCTCAATCCCATGATTCAGGAGGGGCTGAGCTATGGCACAAAGGATAGGACACCAAGTAATGGGGAGAACCATGCAAGCCAGTGATTCTTCCATTTAGAGCTTGTTGGGTGGAAGGAACCTACTTCAGACCCTGAGCTATACCACTCAGCTCCAGCTCTGGGGAGGTTTGAGATGGGGCACAGCATCCTCTACCAACCAAAATCCCCCTCAGGAAATATTTGCCAGGCTGCAGGTGCCCAGCGATCTTCGTCTGTCTCCTTAAACAGACTGTGGATCCCACATCCTGTCGGGCTCACCCACCCTCTTTTCATTCAACTCTCCTCTTTTAGCACAGACCTTTTTTCTTGAAACTTAATTATGCAAGGGATACATGAATACATTCTAGGTCTAAATGTGTCAAACCAAACAAAAAAGTGAAAGTCATGGGCGACGCCCCACACCATGCCCCTGCCCCCTCTCTTCTGCTCCATGTGACTTCTAGACTTTGTCCTTTGCGTGTAAATACAGACACAAGTACATATGGAAGGAAGGAGTGTGCCTCTGTGGTGTACGCTCAGAGCAGATTATTTTACAGCTCGCTTTTCCCATCTGACGATGTGGCTTTCTGTGTTGGTACATTGCGGATCGTTTAATCTTTTTAACTGCTGTAGAGTATTCACAGTTTTAAAATAAAAACATTCCTGCCCTGAGGGACATTTAGGTGGCTTTCAATTTTTTTGCTATTCCAAATGGCCACAGAGGATGCTTGTTCTCTCTGTAAGAACAAGCACATTTACTTGTTGGATCGGGACTTGGGGGACGTGGCTGGGCCTGAAAGCATGGACAGGTTTCTGGCCACTGGCCCCTCCACAGGAAATGCATTGTCTTCTCATACCTTCTCAGGCCCCCAAGTTCTGGCCCTGTATGAACCCCTCGTACTCTGTCCCTGGAGATTACACCATGACTCCCTGAGAGAATTCCATCTCCCACCTCCACTGTAAATTCCCAAACAGCCTCAGTGGGGACACCTCTGGGGACTCCTCCGTGCATCCTAGGACAGTGAGATTGGCAGATTTAGTGGCTCCCAGACTGAGGCTAACACAACCCACCTTCTTTCTAGCTGCATGGAGCTCACAGTCCTGAGCCCCCTCCTCAACCCTGTGAGGAGCAGCAGTGAGCTACAGGAGGTCAAAGCTGGTTGTTCTGGGCAGGGTTCTACGTGCCCAACCTCATTCCCTAACCTGAGAGCCCAGCAGGTGTCCCATGGCTGAGGCTTGGGCTTCTTTCTTCTCATGGTCACTCAGAGTCCACCTGGCCCCACTGCAGGCCCAACACGACCCAGAACTCACTATGATGACCAACTCCTACAGCCTCCCCCACCAACACTGCCACCCCAGTGCTCTGCCCTCAGCCTTCACACACTGCGTATCCGTATTTGCCTTTCTAAAGAGCCTTAAGTGAGAAAACTAATCTCTGCTGGTGGAATGTGAGACTGCTGCAGAGACGGCTGGAAAAGGATCAGGGTGGGTGTTCCCAGCTGGTCTTTGTGAGAAGGGCAGAAGGGGCTGAAGATCGAGTCCTGGTGCCTCTCTAGCCTGCTTCATAACAGGGAACCATGCCCTCTGTAATTGGTTCACTCTGTAGAAGTTGTTAACATCTGAGGGCTAGGAGACCACCCCACAAGCTTCTGAGAGGAATTACTGCCCCATTTTATAGATGAGGAACCTGGGGCTCAGAGACACAAATCAGCACATGCTCTGGGGCTGCTAGAGGGCTGCCTGGGGAAAGCTATGCACCCGCCTTTTCAGAGAATGATCAAGAACTGCGGGAGGGACAGGAAGTGGCCACTGTCCAGCTGGAGGTCCCTGAGAAAACCTCGGAAGCAAAAGCCCCCCGCAGCAACCCACCTATCAACTCTCACAGGCAACTTCAGACCCTGCTACCACTAGGGAAGTCAGCACATCACACATCCCCAGAGCCATGGTGAGCTCTCAGCAGCCTCTGAGCACCATCTCTGTATCTCCCCATCTATTGTCCTGCTGCCAAATTAGCCAGATGTTCAGCATTCAGTGCTGTCAACCAATAAGCCTGCAGCCCCTTCCACTGTTCTGGTCACCAAGGACCATGCAGGGACAGAACAGAATCAAGTTTCTGACCACATCAGAGCTTCCAGAGATGTTAATCAATGAAGGCATACACACTAACATGCCAGGGAGTGGTGGGTGCCTATTAGAAAGAGAAACACGGTGGGGCAGAGGGCATGTGTGTGCTGGGGTGGGGGTGAGGCTGTGTTACACGAGGCATCAAGAGCGGTGACTCTGAGAGTATCACATTTGATAAGAAAGCTGAAGGAAGTGAAGGAGCAAGACATGCAGGTCGCAGGGGTGGGACAGAGGTCTTTCTAGACAAGAGCCTGAGGTACGTTGTGCCTGGTGGGCCTGAGAACAATGAAGGAAGCCAGGCGATGAGCAAGACGAAGACACTCCAGGCGGAGATAAATGGAAGGGTAGGGATGGCAGAGGGAGGTCACACAGGGTCTGGGGGTCCCTCAAAGATCCCAATATCCAGTGGAGTTCTGAGCTCTCCCAAAAACCATGGTAGAAATTCCTGGAAGCTGAACAAAAGCAACAGATTCCTTTTTTCCCCCCTCTGGAATTCATTTCTTGTTATCCTGGGCTATGGAAACATTATGGTCATTTCTCCCTCCTTTCCCCCCTCCTCTCCTCCGCCTCTCCTCCTCCTCCTCCTTCTCATGCTCCTTCTCCTCTTCCCTCCTCCTCCCTCTCCAAACCTGCCCCTGACCTTGTCCCAAGCTGGCTTGCCTGTGTGCAGCTGAAGCAGTGACTGCCTCTCAGTTGCAGGCAGAAGACAAGGCCAACAAGGGGACAAGGGGACGAGAGGAAAGACGCCCCCGGGAGAGGCAGGCGGCAGCACGAGGGACAACGTCACAGGGGCCTCTGACCGCTATTCATTTCAGTCCCCGTGTCTCCATCAATAACCGTCTGCCAGTGACCAGGAGGGGAAGGAGGGAGGAGGGGCGACGTGGGGCTGGACAGGGGAGGGGTGGATGGAGCAGAGACAGCTCCTTGGCAGTTCCCCCGGGCCCTGGGCAGGAGGGCAGGCATAGCTGGCACTGGGAACTCAGCTTGTGTCTCCCTGCTTCCTTCTTCTATCTCCATGTCCCCTTCACACATATATCCCCTTCCTGCCTCCTCTCTGAAGCTAGGTGGGGAAGGGAGGCAGTACCAGTTTCCACAGAAGAAGAGGAGAGAGGGCTTTGGTTGGGCATCAGCTAGATGGTGGAGGTCTCATGTGCTATGGAGGACCATATTCTCAAAGGCCAGAATATGTCTGATGACAAGGGTTGATGTAGACACCAGTCTGTCACCATCAGGCTGTGGGCCTCAAGAGAGGATAGCCTGGGTCACAGTCCTGGCACAGAGTGGGTACCCAGGAAGTAAATGGCTATGAGAACTATGAGAAGGACCAAATGACTGGTAATTTTTGGTCAAGAAAGGAGTTTGTTTGGAAGTGGACTAAAGACATCAAGGAGGGCTGCCTGGAGTAGGCAGAGCACCATCCAACTGTTGAAAGACGGGTGGAGTGGGGGAAAGTAGAAACGGGGGTGGTAAGCAGACTGTGCACAGGAATGGGGTGAGTGCAGGTTGTAGGGGAGGCCAAGAAGATAGCAGAAATGAAACAGAGGGGCTGGCCTGCCTTCAGGGTGCCTTCTCTCGGGCAACCGGTCTCCAGAGCGCTCAAGGCTGCTTTAGCCAAAGCCGGCCTTCTGACTTTCACCATGACTTCCAGCCTTTCAGGGGAACAGGCTACACAGGCGGGGCAACGGGAGAAACTCTCGGAAAGATGCTCCCATCACCAAACATTGCCTTTGCTTTGTCACAGTGCCCGAAGGGGCAGCATTAAAAAGTCCCCTCGGGAAGCGGATTGCTCTGTCCAGTCCACAGGCCCTGGTGAGGAGCAATGATGTGGCCCCATCAGACTCAATGGTATACACTGGGCTCTGGAGCTCACATACTCAGCCCCCAGTTCACAGAAAGGGAGACTGAAGCTAGGCCCGGGATATGGGGCAGAGCGGCGGGGTCACTGGAGAGTTACAGGCAGGGAGAGGGTAGGCCTCAGTTCCAGGGCTGTGACTGGCTGAGCAGTCCAAGAAGCCCTCTGCCTAGCGGGGGTGTGAAGGCCCTCCCTGCAAATGTGACAACAGGAACTGGGCCAGGAGACACAAGCAGCGCTGTGACAGCCCCGTTCATTTTATTAGGACGGCCTGGCCAGGGGTCGTCCTCATAGGCAAGGCTTTATTTGGAAGGCGGGAGGGAGGGCCCCATCATCTCTGACAGAGCAGCAGCCTGAGTTCACGGGCCAGTGTGACTAGAGGCGCTGGGGGCAAGCTGCCCCTTCTGGGAGGTGTCAGGGTTGCAGTAGAAACAGGTGGAAACAGCGCCCGCAGGGAAGAGGGAAAAGATCAGAGACGCTTGAGGCACCAGGGCTGGGGCCAGAGAGAGACCTGTGGGCAGAGGGGGTGTGGTGGGGGGAGACTGCGGGAGGAACAAAATAGGAAAGCGACGCGAGGGACGAGAGGCAGACACACAGGAGCACGGAGAGGCAGGGAAGCTCCGAGGAGAGGGCACCGGAAAGAGAGAGGTGGGAGGGCGCCGAGGGGCAGCCAGGGGCGGGGGCGCGGCAGGGCGCGTCCCGGGCCAGGACGGGCCGGGCCGGGCCGGGGGCGCCCCACTGACCCTTCTCGGCGCTTGCTTCCCTCCCCAGGCTGCGCTTTCCTCACCTACTGCGAGCGTGAGTCAGCGCTGAAGGCCCAGAGCGCGCTGCACGAGCAGAAGACTCTGCCCGGGGTAAGTCAGAGGCGCCCGCCGGGGCGCGAGCGAGTGGCGCGCCGACAGGGGGCGACTTCGCGAGGCCGG